AACACTGCTGACAGAGCTTTCTTTACCGAGGCTGCGTTCCAGGCCATGGCTAAAGGCTAGAGTAGGTTTATAAATACTGCGCAAAAAACTGTGTAAAAAAAGAAGCAGTTTGCAATTGTAGGCAATCACTTCTACTCTTTCGGCCCCTAAAATCGTCGTTTTACTTGGCCGTCTCTCCTATCTAAAAATGCATTTGTCATCTCTTCACATCACTGCCAGTCCCCCTTCTGTACGTTTTACTACAGAAACCTTTATTAACTTAAAAGTAATATGAAGCGACAGCTACAGTTACATTTTGCGTTTTGTTTTACCAAGGGTACCCTTCAAATCATTCCTTAAAATCGTCAAAGAACCTATCGAAAATTGGATTCGAATTCGGCTTACTTATAAACAACAGTTATAATGGGCTAAATCTGTGTAGAAATGCTCGAAAACGGAGTGAAGCACTTCACATGAACAACTTTTTAAGATAATGGATTATGGCGGTATTAAAGCAAGCGATAAGTTCAGGACGCTCTGCTTCCCACACGGCTGCCTCCTCTTGCACAATTCTCAAAGCAAGTCAAAGAGATCTCAGCAGGCCTTATTTAAAAACCACTGCAAAGTTGAATTTCGACACCTTGTTAAAATGCCCTACGCACAAATTCTTGATGCTACGGTAGAGCGATCGAAAGGGTTCGGATCCAAGTAATCTACCATGGTAAGTATTACGGCTCCTATGCCTTCTTGCTGGAAGCAGGGATTGCTCGTCTCGTCTGTATTTGGATTCCTAAATATAACGCAAAATGCAATCACAATTCATGCAACAACAATCTTGAATTTGTTCACATTTAGCGCTGGGGGTACGTAATAGTTCACAGGGGAGAGTGCTTATACTAATAAGAGCTTTAGCCTCAATTATAACACTTTGAGCCAACCTTTAAAGTGTGCAACCTCATGATACCTCTAACCGTCACGTCATTGTGACATTCCAGCCACGTTGCCCCTTTGGGATTGGCCCTGTCAGTTTTTAGTTACCACTGGCCTCACAACAGTGAATACAGCATGGGATACCCTCTCATCATGGTGTCGAATTTCGTGTTGAAGAAATCGCGAGAGGCAGACAAATTCACTTATGCTGCCATACGAATAAGCGACCCGTGGTTTGCGTCACTCGACCTTCGTCAAATCGATACCCATTCTTTTGATCCCGTCCATTAATCCGTCT